ATAAAAATAAAAACTAATTTCTAATAGGGTTCTAGCCTCTTGGAGAATAAAAGGAAAAGAATGAAAATAAAAACTAATTTTCAAGAGAGTTCTAGCCTCTTGGAGAATAAAAGGAAAAGAATGAATAAAAACTAATTACAAAGAGTGTTGTAGCCTCTTGAAAATAATGCAAGAAAATAAAATATAAAATATACAATAAAATAAATCTATACTATAAAATACAAGAACATAAAGACATAAAAGTAAATCTACTCTACAAGGCATAAAAATAAATCTAAAGCAAGAGGGTTCTAGCCCCTTGAAATCTAAAACAAGAAAAGAAAATATTACAAGAAAAAAAAGATAGAAGGAAAAATTTACATTGCATTGAAAGCAAATATTTATCTTTATCTTCATCTTTATCTTCATCATTAAACAAAGAGAAGAAAAGAAAAATATAAAAAGGTAAAAATTTTTTATTAATTACAACAAAGTTATAATTTTGGATGGTCTTCTAAATTAAAAGTAACTCTCCTCTCCAAATAGAGTTATTATAAATTTTTTTATGCTCAAAGCTCTCACCCTCTATCCTTATTTATAGCCCACAACAACGAACAAGAATAATTGGATTTTATTTGGGCTCTAAGGATTAAATCTTAGCCATAAAACAAATTTGTTATGAACTAATTGGTCGGTCAATCGATTGACCAATCAGTTGACCAACCGATTAGAATTCCAAAATTTTAAAAATGTACTTAGCTCCATCTCGTCAAGATAGGTGATTTTCATATGTTATATATTAAATTCCGCCTTCCGGATTGAGAGATATCGTCATTTTTTGTGGATAATGATATTAAAAATAATTTTTACTTGATTTCTTTTCATATTGAATCATTGATTCTTCGGCTTCTGTTCATTGCTTGGCTCAATCCCGGGCTTTAATAAAATATTAAAAATAAAAAATTTAAATTCTTATTTAGTTTTTATTCATTAATTCTTCATCAACTTGCAAATTAAGATAAAACATACTTATTAGTGATATTTTATTTAAACAAAATAGATAATGAGGGTATAAATATGTAATGAAAATGTGATTATCAGAGGTACTATCAACTTATCCAATGCTTTCAATATTTCTTGTCCATTTGATTTTCTTACCTATAATAACCATCTTTTATGTTTTTTCGTTAATAACTATGTTGAATCATCAAACTTTGTTTGTCTTTTTTTTATTAACCACCAATAAGTTCTTTGTTCCTATCAATTTTAGGCTACAAAATTTAACTAATAAAATATATTGGTTATCTATCTTCTACTCATTGAGTGAATCTGAGTACATAAATCTATATATGATATATTTGATTGAATTACATTAAAAATTTTGATTTTCTATATGAAATTCAGATTAATTTGTCTATTGATTGAGATTTTTTAGTTTGGATTAAAATATTGACCTATCCAATTCTCATAAACTGAGCTATTCAAATAATATATTGATATCGGTTGGGATTCCATCTTGCTATTATAACTTTTATTATTTTACTTCTAATAACAATTTTTGCTATTCAAACAAGATACTAGACATTTAATATTAATTTTTTTATTTAGTGGCCTTTGTGACTTTCATGTATGATATATTAAGAATCAATATACCATAAGTAAACTACATCGTAAGTATATATTTAAGAATCAATAATGTAGAATATATTATTTACTAATAACTCACTGAACCAAGTACGCCACGTGCAGCGATACTAGTAAACCAAAATTGAAATTACAAAGGGATCTAAGAAGAAGCACGATGATTTTTTGGGACTCTTTCACAACAACTCAATTTTATTCATTTTTTCTCCGAATCAAAGACTATAAATTCCCATTAAGTTTTGAGGGGTTTTTCTTTTAAATCGATTTTAGATTCAAATTTTCTTCATTTTCCATTCTCATGATTGTTGCCATTTTTTACTTTATTTATTTAACTATTTGTATTTATCATTTATTTAAGTATATCAAGAGAATGATGAGGATAGAGTAGTGACTCATTTTGCTAAGTGAGCTACCAAAAGATAGAGTGGTGAGGTCCACACCACACAGCTATCAAAATGAGACGTCATCTCATATCTATTATTTCCTTATATCAATGTGTCATATTTTTTTTAATTTAAATGAGGATTTACTTTAGTTTTCCTTTGTAATTAATGCAAACTTCATTTATGTTTTTCTTTTTTTATCATCGTG